TAAATTAATAAAAATATAGAAACCATATAAAAATAATAGAAGACAGTAAAATGAAAGTTTAAGAAACATAAAATACAATAAATAAAATTTAAAGAATGAATAAAATATAAAAAAGAGACTTATTTAATGTTTTAGAAGATAATTAAATTCTATTTTTGAAATTATATTGGTAAAATATAAGTCTGCTCCACCCTGTTCCATGAGGTAGGGATGGAACAAGCCTGTTCCACTTTATTCTGTTCCACATAAAAGTCATGCCAAACATGAGACAGAGATCTTTGTCCTGTTATGTCCTGCCATGCCCAGTGTACCAAACGCACTCTTAATGTTTAATTGACCAACATGTTTTTAGTGATCTTAATGTTTTATTTTTAATGGTTAAGCTGAAAATTGTCTAACAACTATGTTAAAATAGAGAAAATATGAGATAAAATTTGACAATTTTTAAATTTAGAGAAATCCCGACTTAGGAGAGATAAAAATAATATTATAATCTTTTTGCACCAAAAGTATTGAAAATAAATGTTTAGCATATATAAATAATATTTTATCATACATAGTGAATATTTTAATGATATACTTAATGCTAGAATTGTTAAAATAGAATCATAGTTGGAATATGATGTAGTATGTTTGGAGATTTTAATTATCAAGAACATCTCCAACAAATTCTTTAAAATAGAGAAAACGAGACTTTTTATTTGTATTTTACTTCAACAAATTCTCTATATTATTTTATAAAATAGAGAAAATTAAATAAAGCTCTAAATTTAGAGAATTATTTATAACTTAACGTATGAAGAAATATGTTTTTTTTATTTATCTATACTATATTATAAAGTATTTGATAAAAACTTTTAAAAACAATTTTTCATACATAAAGTACTGTTTATTGATGCATATTACTTAAAATTTAAGATTACAAATAAATTGTGCTTAAGTACAACTTATTAAAGTTTCATATTTGAATTCGTGTAACCAACTGCAGATAAACATAATCAAATACAAGATAAACATTTCATTTTAAATATAAAAAATCTAAACTATAATTAAGATAATCATTGAGTTCTAACAAAATACTTAATTATTATTCTTATAAGAAATTATATTATTAAATCAAAAATAAATTACTTCGTTACTAAAATCTAAATTAAAATTATAATGAAAAAATTGAATTAAAGAAATTACACAAAACACAAGAACTTTTAAATAGTTAATTTAATATTAGTATTGATATATTTATTTTTGAAATTTTATGATATCTTCAAATTTGTATTTTATTCAAAAACAAAAACATTATCTCTTTCTCAAAATCACATAAAAACCATATTAAACATATGCAGAAACAGAATAAAACGAAACACTAAAATCGATATATATATATCGCTGCATTGTACGAATACCCTTCTAGTTCTTATTAATATAACTGAATTATTATTATTCTATATAATTTTTGTACAAAGTTTATTAAAATAATAAATTTATAAATATTTTAATAATATAATAAATGTTAAAAATTTTAAAACAATTTTTGTAAGTCGATAAAATAGAGATTTTTTTAGAAGATAACATAAAGAATTTATCGGAACTAATTTATTTTTCAAATTTAACTTTTAACTAGAAGGGTATTTGTGCAAAATTCAATGAGATACATCTTTATTTTGATGTTTCTTTTTATTTTTCATTTCTATTGATGTAATACGGTGTATATGGTTTTGCAAAAAAATAATATTTTTACTTTTGAATAAAAATAAATTTGAAAACATCATAAAAATTTGAAAAAAATATATTGATATTATTATCAAATTAACTATTTAAAAGTTCTCGTTTTTTTTTTGTATAATTTCTTTAATTCAATTTTTTATTATAACTTGATTTAGGTCAAATAGTGAAGTAATTTATTTTTGCCTTAAAACATTATTTTTTATAAGATAATGATTCTATTAGAACTCAATGATTATTCTAATTATATTTTAGATTTTTTATATTTAAAATGAGATGTTTATTCTATATTTGATTATGTTTATCTGTAGTCAGTTACACGAATACATGGAACTTTAATAAGTTGTATATATACACAATTCACTTATAATATTAAGTTTTAAGTAATATACATCAATAAACGGTACTTAATGCATAAATAATGATTTTTAAGAGTTTTTGTCAAATGCTCTATAATATAACTAGAAGGGTACTCGCGCAATACAACGAGATACATCTCGATTTTAATGTTCTATTTTATTTTTTGTCTCTGTCGATGTTATAATACAATTTTTTGTGTTTTTAAGAAAATAATAATAATTTTATTTTTGAATAAAATGTAAATTTGAAGATATCATAAATTTAAAAAAAAATATATCAATATTAGTATCAAATCAACTATTTAGAAGTTCTATTTTTTAAATAATTTCTTAAATTTATTTTTTATTATAACTTGATTTAGGTCAAATAGTGAAGTAATTTATTTTTGCCTTAAAACATTATTTTTTATAAGATAATGATTCTATTAGAACTCAATGATTATTCTAATTATATTTTAGATTTTTTATATTTAAAATGAGATGTTTATCCTGTATTTGATTATGTTTATCCGCAATTAGTTATACGAATTCAAACATGGAGCTTTAATAAGTTGTACTTATGCATGATTTACTTGTAATCTTGAATTTTAAGTAATATGTATCAATATACAATATTTTATACATAAAAAATGATTTTTAAATTTTTTTTATCAAATACTTTATAATATAATATAAAAGATATAAATCCTTGATTTTAAAAATAAAATTTATAGTGAATTTGTAATAAATGTGGTAATAATTTATTAAAAAAAAGTAGGATAAAATTGTTGAAGATAGGTAGGAGGGCTATGGATAATTTATCCCCAGGGGTCCATGGTTCGGTGGGGTCGGCTGGTAAATAAATAGCCCAGAAAACCAAAGGTTTGGTTCATCATCTCTGAAGCGAAAACGTACGGATCCAACCTCTGAGTCAATCCTTCCTCTCCAGAATCACCATGACCATTCAATCATCAAAACCTCAAGGTCTGTTATCTCATTATACTTGTGTTAGTTTATTTTTCATTTTATGATCGTCATCGTTTTTTTTTTTTTTGCTATAATATGCAGCTGTATACTGAAAACTAGGTTGATTTAGTCTTGAAATTTTGATTTTCAGCTTTATGATTTCAGATTGATATGGTGATTCTTGTTTGTTGTGTGATGAGTGTAGTTCAATCGGAGTTTGAAGTGAGTTATGTTTTTATTTGCAATTGCGATTTGCAAAGCACCCATAATACTACCAAGAATCCCAATACCTCCCGCTCGAAAATCACCTTAACAGTTCAATCACTTAATCTTCAAGCTCTCTCTCTCTGTCTTCACTATTAGTTCAAATTTGGTCTCTTTTGTCATCATCATCATCATGGGTTTTTTGTTTTGCTATGATATGTAGCTCTATACCGTTCAATCATGAAAATTTGATTTTTAACTTCATGGTTTAAGATCCATTTGATGATTAATGCATGCGCTTTGTGATTGATGAGATAGTTAAAACCTGGCTAGTACTAATTAGTACTTCCTACAAAGAGAAAAAGGCTTGTATAAATTTGGGACGGTGCCTATTTTGACAAATGGGTAATTCACAGTTACACATGTTAAAGAGCCGGAAAAGACGGATATGGCAATTTAGGTTTCATGATTTCAACAACTAAACTAAGTTTTGGACAAGGAATTAACATAATTATCAACTCTTGTAGAAAGGTTATGAACCTTTGAAAGAAAGCAGAACTTTCACCCAAATATCAAAACCTCTTCTGAACGCTAATGATTCACATACAAAAGGTTCACTACGATTCTTAAACAACTATTCAATTGATTTACAAATGAGGTAAAGAGGAATTCGTGTAAACATAGATCAAGCTCAAAAGAAATAGTGAAATGAACGGAAGGGGAAATCTTACAAATAACTCAGTCAGTATGATACAGCATACCATTGCACTTCAATCATGCATTTGTAATCTGTAGGTTGTGGCCTTACCAGTTCTGTGTGTGACATTTAGAAGCTGCTTGTGTGATATTTTTTGGTTATCTATGCGACATAGGTATGCTTTTGTCGGTGTAACGTGGTACATATTTTTTTCTATGTTTCCAGAGCTTGATATGAAGTATCCTTAGGTTTTGCTGATTCAATCTTTAGATGTATATGCTCCATTTAGCTCGTATTTGTTCGGTTTCAATGTTCTGTACGAATTCTTTCTTTTTATCCTTTAATTAATAATCATTTGATAGAGGGTTTATTAGATGGTGTTTCTAATTCTTCGTTTTTGGTTCATAGTTCATTTAATTGTGTACTTTCCCTAGTAATATGCTACTGATTCATAATATTTTGAATTGGATACCTATTATTATGATTTACATAACGACTTTCATCCTTATTCTATTTAAATCCAAAACAAATAGATTTGCATATTTCTTTATTAGTCATCCAACACATTCTTATTGAACTGTTATTTGTCGTCCAATTGATTTTGCGTTAGGTTTTTAGTATGGTGCAAGTCCGACTTGTACCTAGGTTAAAGAAACTTGTTTAAGATTAGAGATTGAGGTGATTTTACTATGTAGCCGACTTCAAATATATAAAGAAAACTAAGCAGCCAGCAAGTATTGTTAAAACTGTAGTTATTGTTAACCAAGGTATATTGTCCGTGTAAACAAAAGATGCATGTGGACCAGAAAAACCTGTGCTCCAAAAGCTTCCAAAGGGGATGCTGCAAGTTCAGATAATGAAGATATGATTCTCGGTTATGTTTCGGATGTGTTATGTTTGGTGAATAATGTCCGGAGATAGAGTCAAAATTAAAGTAAGTTACGATTCAATCTGAGGTGGTATGATTTATGAACTCGACAACAATGATTCAGACTGAACAATGTATAGCTTGAGAATATGAAACAAGGAGGATTTTGGTTTCTGTATGCATGCAAGAAGAGGTGTTATAGTGTATATTCTGTCTTTGTGTTGCATTTATAGCCACAGTGGTTGTCTGTAGTGGATTTTTTTGTTTATCATTTTCTGTTACTTTGTTTTCACACAGATGACCAGAGCAAGGATTCAAAGAGCTCGTATTTTAACCTTCCAGCACTGGATGTCTCCGTTGCATTTCCTCAAGCAACACCAGTTTCAGTCTTTCCACCTTGCAGTGAGATTGATGAGACTATTTTAATCAACTACAAGGCTTGTATTTGCCCTTGCTAATGTTTTTATTGCTTAAAATTGCAGCCTCAGACTTCTATCACTTCGATGACCTACTAACCCCTGCGGAGCAAGCTCTAAGATTGCGAGTAAGAGAGTGTGTGGAGAGAGAAGTTGCTCCAATAATGACCAAGGTATTTCCATATTTTCTGCTCAATACTGAACACAGGAGATACTGTATATGCTAAGTCAACAACCGTTAAGCTGCTGACAGTTTTCTTTGAGATTTTAGGGAAGTGTAAGTTGCATCAACATGCACTGTTATTTGTTATGTTGCTTATATTTGGGGATATTACTTTTCATAAGCTCCATTTTGCTGTCTGCTACAAGATATCTTGAATAAGAAAGTTCTTAATTTTTTCCTTAATACTGATTTTTTAATTACAAAGTTATAATGGTTTACGATTTTTGCTCACAAAGTTATAGTAAACCAAACTATCCTGTCTATCTGTTTACAAAAATCTGATGTTAAGTTTTCGTGAGTCAATGCAGTACTGGGAGAAGGCTGAATTTCCATTTCAAATTGTTCCAAAGCTAGGTGCTCTGAATATAGCTGGTGGAACTATCAAGGTATTTTGATTATATTATGGATGTTTGGATTTATGTACCTAGCATATAGATATTGAAGGTTGTTGCTTACATAGTTTTATTTTCCAGGGTTATGGGTGTCCAGGTCTGTCCGTCACTGCAAATGCGATAGTTACGGCAGAACTAGCCAGAGTTGATGCAAGCTGCTCTACTTTCATTTTAGTGCATTCTTCTTTAGGAATGCTCACTATATGTAAGATCTTGATTGTAATTTTGGAATATTCAGTTTTTTATTTTAATAATACAACATCATCATTGATCGATAAATCTTTGTCAAAATCAGCTCTATGTGGGTCAGAAATACAAAAACAGAAGTATTTGCCTTCACTGGCCAAACTAAATACGATAGCTTGTTGGGTGAGTGAGCCTGTTATCTGATTTGAAATGGTCTCTGATTATGTGCTGCTATTTGTACCTGTCAGAATGGATAACCATGATCTAATTTTCTTTTGCATCAGGGTTTGACTGAACCTGACTATGGTAGTGATGCAAGTGGCCTTAGAACAACAGCAACAAAAGTATTGACCCTGATCTCTATTCTGCTGTAATTTGGATATGCCTTGTCAAAGATGTTTGGTTCAGTTGAGAAGGACAAATCAATTGTTATGCTTTCTTTTCTTCTATTTCTGATAATTCTGAACTATCAGGTGGATGGAGGTTGGGTACTTGAAGGCCAAAAACGATGGATTGGGAACAGCACTTTTGCAGATATTTTGATTATTTTTGCTAAAAACAAAGACACAAACCAGATAAATGGGTAAGAAAATATTGTACTGTGTCTACAAGTAATGCAATTTGTACGAGTATTTTGGAAGTGCATGTTAAAACAACTATGCAAACTGCTGTTACTTTTGTTAAACCATGTCTAAGAATCAACCCAAAAACGAATAACATTTTGTGATAGCTACTGACGTTGGGTATATAAGGTGCACTCATGGTGCTGCATCTTCTTATTCTTGAAAGTTCTAGTAGTATGGATATTGTCATATTTATATAGTCCCACACTGCAAGCATGGCTTACAAGGGACTAGAGAAAGAGAGGGGGAGCTATAAGCATATGCATATTGTCATTTTTTATGTAGTCCACGCCCTAACTTAAGTGTTAGAACCAAAGAAAAAGATCAGGGTCCGATGTCTTCTCGGAAGTACACAATTGGTCATTATAATTGGTAGTGGAGAGCTAGTGTCCCTCAAAGCATACTGACGATGGCCATTCCTTCCACCCCAAAATAAATGACCACAATGAAAAAGGCACATGGTCTTAGAAATGTGTAACTATTACACTTTTTAATTAACTAAATGACAAGTTTACCCTTAATAAAAGTAATGAATTCTCCATCTCCTAATTAAGGTAGAATTGGATAGGCACTTACTTTTGAAAATCGACACTTATTTTGGTATAAACTGAAATAGATTTTTGGACACTTATTTTGAGACGGAGGGAGTATTGTAACTGCTTCAAAAGTAGAAGGGCGCTTTTAGAGTTGTGATATTCAAATGAGTGAAGCTTGATTTTATATACAAGAACACACACAAATTTTCTATTACAAGTAAGCTAACAACCGAAGTACAGTTTTCTTACAGACGAGTCACGAGTGTCCTATTACATACTATGATGCCCTTATTTAACAACTAGTCGTTGGAATGCTAGGATAAGCCGAATGAAGTCTGTTCTTTTGGGTTCTGTCTTATTGCAACAAACTGTTTTGTAGAATTTTTCTGTTGATGATGAATTGCATTCCCTCATTACTATATCATTTTGAAATTTTATGAGAATTCGATTAGGGTGCTCAATCCATGCAGTAGGTCTGCTTAAATTATTTTAGTTTTGTGATTGCAAAAGAAATGATTTTGCAGGTAGCTATGCCACTACATTAGCTAGTTCATTCTCTTCATTTCCTATTTTAGTTATTGGTATGTGCTTCTTCATTTGTTACAGATTCATCGTGAAGAAGAATGCACCTGGGTTGCAAGCTACCAAGATAGAAAATAAAATTGGGCTCAGAATGGTTCAAAATGGAGATATTCTGTTACAGAAAGTTTTTGTTCCTGATGAAGACAGGTTACCTGGGGTGAACTCTTTCCAAGATACAAGCAAAGTATGATAATACTGGTTCTTTTGCTTGATGATTGAAATTGAAGACACTTGAATATATGTTATACGTATGAAGTTGATTTTTATAAAACCCACCCAGCTACCATCATTAGAAGCAGATAACCAACTTCATTCATGCCATATACTTATTGTGGCTGGGGGTTATGTAACTTTTCTTCCTTCTAGAAAGATACTTTTGCCTTTAGTGATATTACATGTCTATTAAAAGAGAGCATAAAGCAACTCCAAGATGCAAACATATAGTACAAAAGAGGGAACAGCTGAAGTAAAATAAGAGTCCCCAGGTAATTGTTAAAATTAAACTAAGAGTTACTTTGTTAATTAAGAGAACTAGGATGGAAATGAGCCTACACTCCTCTTCTGGACATCCTATCCCCTACACCTTACTTCAAAGCACTCCGTCCGTCATTCACTTGGACCATACTTCACCACCTTCACCTCCTTCACCTCCAAATTTCTCCTGCTCATGTTAGTCTTTCTGTCTGTTTCCTCACATGGATCTGTTACCTCATTTCTTCCAGTATCATTTTTTCTTTCCTATGTTCCCCTGATAATGGCAGGTAGCTCTTCAACTGCTACTTGTGAGGGTAGAAGTTTCAAAGGGGAATAAGAGAATACTACATACCAAGCAGTGTGTCCTTGGTCTTTTGATATCTTATCAATGGCTACATATGGTTGATCTATTGCTTGATCTATTGCTTGAATCTATTGCTTGATCTATTCCTAAAGTAGGATTGTATAAGCTCAGACACACCACACATGCATTAATATATATACACACACACATATATTTGAACGTGTTCTTATCTTTGGTTGATCTATTGCTTGAATCTACATAATATCACATGTTTTTACATACTCTGCTTTCATTGCTCGCATTGAAATTTTATCCGGAAATCTTCAAGCTATTTAAGTCTTTTTATGTGTTCACTGTATAATCTGTAACAATCTCCATTGTGATTGTATTTATTTCTGCTATTATATTCTCTTAACTTGTACAGAACACATGATCAGATAAGTTTGTAGAAGTCTCTATTCAATTGATAAAGAAGTTTCTGGGTCCTGCTATTTTTAGCAGCTAATCTACTGGGAATCTTATACCCTGGTTCATTTCCGCTCAAAAGCCTTGTTGGAAAAGCATGTAAGCTTGCAGAATAATGAAAACTACCTTCACTTCCGATATTAATCATGTATGTGGAGGTTAAATGCTAGGTGCCCATTTAAGATTAGCGCATAGATAAAGATTTGATAACATTTTGACTTTTCCCGATGATGATAATCCACAAATGTGTACTCGTATCCTACCAGTTTCTTGTGCTACGATATGGCAGGKTTTCTCCTCTAACATTTCTCTTGATGTCAGTTTCTCGTAAGTCATAATCTGGAATAATGATTCTGCAAGGTCTGGTTCTTAGAATTGTGAAGTGATGCATATAGATGCTTTACCATGAGGGTCATAATCCTAAATTACATGTCTGGAGCAAGACAAAAAGGTGGAGTTCACTTTAATATTCATGTAGCATGCATCACTGTTTTGAATTTACATCATTGGAGTGCGGAGGATGATTATTTTGATCATATGGACAGAAATATTAATTCATTCCAGAAACTGGTTTCCTATGCGGATTAGTATTACTGAGATAGGGTGAGAACTGGTGGAGAGGAGTGAGCCACTGTTTGTCTTGGAACCATTAATGAGTTGGGAGTTGATTTAGCCACATTGTTCAAATTTTATCTTCTACTAGTTAATGCAAGCTTGTCATGGCTTTGCTGTGTATTTGTTAGTTGTGTATACCCTGCTGGGGTGCTTCATGTTTTAAATATCTATTTACCCCTCCCTACCTGAATGCAGGTGCTTGCTGTTTCTCGTGTCATGGTTGCCTGGCAACCTATTGGCATCACAATGGGTGTCTACGATATGTGCCACAGGTATTGGCATTTAATCTAGAATCTTAATTGTTTAAAACTGCATATCTTTATTGATGATAAGGTTGGTTAATTATGGTTGATAGATACTTACTAGAGAGAAAACAGTTTGGAGCCCCATTGGCAGCTTTCCAAATCAACCAGCAGAAGCTAGTTCAAATGTTGGCCAATATCCAAGCAATGTTTCTCATGGGTTGGCGCCTTTGCAAGTTGTATGAGGCTGGTAAAATGACTCCTGGTCAAGCCAGCTTGGGCAAGGTCTCGCATAATTCTTGTTATTCCATTTTCAACATAAATTACACAGTAAAAGTGGTTGATTTATATCATGACTGGCTATTTTCAATATGCAGTCATGGATCAGCTTGAGGGCTAGGGAGACAGTTGCACTAGGCCGAGAGTTACTTGGTGGGAATGGAATATTATCCGACTTTTTAGTCGCAAAGGTATCTGACATTTGTAACTGGTCAACATATTTCACTTTAGCCGGTGTGTACTGCATACCTATCCTTCAGCCATTTCATCGTTATCACCTGTGTAATGATTCGATTGTTTGAAAAGTGAAAACACATTCAAAAGGGTAAATACATATCGTACCTAGAAGGGGTTGCAGTGGCCTAAATTCACATGAGGTGGCATTTCATTGGTTTCTTTCTCTCTTAAGAAACAAGGTTTTCTCCAAAAATTTGAAGTTCAGGGATATCCCTTTCTTTTTTACTTACACTTTGCCACAAGTCAACGGTCTTCACAGAAACAGTCGTTATACCCTTTGGAGTGGAGGACAGGTTGACGTACGTCCCACCCCTCCTAGACCCTACTTTCATGTGGGATATTCTCGGTTTATTTGGTTTGAATATTTATTGTTTCTTCTAAGTGAATTACTCATTGAGAGGGGAAAAAAAGTTCGAGGTTTAGCGAGTTGGTAATGGAGGGGAACATATTTGGCTCGTTCCAATTTCAACATTTTGGGTCATCAACTGTTACTATATACGTGTATATATATGTGTGTGTATCAACTCTATGTTTGTGGGAGATCTTTCTCTTTGTGGTTTTTCATACAAAGTACATTCTATGAATCTTTGTGTTAAAGCGTTCTAAAATCTAGAGTCTGGTGTTTTCTAATTTGTGGCAGGCATTTGGAGATTTGGAGCCAATCTACACATACGAAGGAACATATGACATTAACACATTGGTGACAGGTCGGGAGATCACAGGTATCGCCAGTTTCAAGCCCGTTGTAAAGAAGCCTCAAATGAGTCGCTTGTAAGCACTCTTCCTATCGAGGAAATGAAATTGTGTGTGTTATGTTTAAGATAGTAACAAGTAGTAGTAACTTATGAAACTGGACATGGATTTGGATATGCTTAATAAAGAAGAAACACACATTTTGATTCATAATTATTAGGCTCTAAAAGTCCTTGGTCAATGGTAGTGGCAAGTGCCTAAGACCCCCCCCCCCTTTTTTTCTTGTGATGTGCCTGTTACAACCATATCAACATCTGGGCTGTTATAACTAACAACAATACCAATCATACCCATTGAATTATTGTTATCAACGTTTTCGGTCAGTACCATTGTAGACAAGAAGTAGAGGCTAGGGCTTGGAGCCTCGGACTCCTCCACGTTAGTTGCCGGTTCGAGTCTTCTCAACGTTATGGGGAATTGGGGATTGTCATGGTTGTCATATTCATGGTAGGGCCCCACTGGGTTAGTCAAGAAATGTCCTCTTTGTTTGCAAATACTCTTCCCGACACAAAATCATCATTGTAAAGCTTTCGTACTTGAAAAGGTTAGACAATCTATAAGCCCGTATGTGTTCTTGAATATGGGGAGAAAAGAAAGAAAAGGAAAATAATTTTTTTGTTTGTGTTCTCGAAAGTGAAAGAAAATGAAGGAAAGGAAAATAAAGAAAAAAAATCATGTTCTTGGATAGCAGACAAAAGGAAAGAAAAATATCATTTTTACAAATATACCCTTTAAATTTATGTATTTTATACTTAAATGTTGGGTAGTTTTGTAATTTTAATATCTTTTTAAAGGATTTTAATTTCTTTTATTTCTTTTCCTTCCCATTTCTGCTACGTTTGGAAGGAAGTTTATGATTAGTGATGGCCGAAAACCGATCCCGGGCCGGGTCGGGCCTAATCGGTCCCAAGCTTCTCATAACCGACCATAACTGGTCTTGGCGTAGCCGGTCCCGATTGAAAATGGTAGGAACGGTCAAAGTACTTCATAATCGGTTATGGGCCGCCGGTCCCGGTCCCGGCATTAAAAAATAAGATTTTTCTTTAAATTTTTTTAATAATATATATTTTTAATACATTATAAAATTTACAATTGGTTCACTCAAATACACTTTAAAAATACGTTTTAATATAATTAAAATTACATTGTCTTATAAAAATACATTATAAAATTATTTAAAAATACATTTATTTATAAAGTTATTTGAATTTTTGGGCCTAGCTAGTCCCATAACTGGTCCCCGGCCTGGCCGGTCCCAGTCCCACGAAACTACCAAAAATGTCAAGCCGGTTCTAGACAGGGCCGATTCTTTACCGGTCGCGGTCCCAAACCGATTTCGCCATCACTATTTATGATTATTTTCATTTCGTTTCTCCTAAAAGGTTTTGAGAACATGGGCTTTATTTACTTTCCTTTTAAACCTACATTTGGCATATGGTTGAAGTTTATAACCAAGTTCACTTCCAAGTTAAGAAATCACATTCCAACCACCAAAACTTCCTTCAAGTTTTCCAAACCAACTTTCCCAATTCTATAAATCTTCACATGATTCACAACCATAGAATTTGTATACCCTTCGATACTTGATTGATCAACATGGAGAATCTTGTTGGAAGCAAGAGATTAGCTGTTTTAGTAGGTTGCAACTATGCAAACACTCCAAATGAGTTGCATGGTTGCATAAATGATGTGTTAGCCATGAGACAAATGCTTATTAATCGATTTGGGTTCGACCCACGCAACATCCAACTCCTCACCGATGCACCTGGCTCGCTCATCATGCCCACCGGTGCAAAGATAAAGGAGGCACTTGACCGTATGGTTGAGGAGGTTGAACCGGGTGACGTTCTTTACTTCCACTATAGTGGTCATGGCACACTGATTCCTTCGATCAAGCGAGTGCGTCCTTTTCATCAAGATGAAGCCATCGTCCCGTGTGATTTCAATCTCATCACAGGTGAGGAAGATGAAATTTTGAACATTAGATATTCTTTTTAAAGTATATAATATTTATATACGGTAAATGAACATTAGCATCCTACAACTTAACAAAATGAGGTTTTAGGACGCACAAACGTCCTAATTAATAGAGTATTTAATGGAGCCTTAAGTTTATGTTCAAGAATTGTTTGTCCTATTTAAAAACGTACGTGTTAGAATGAAATTAGGCGACCTAACAAGTTGTATTCACATTTTGTCATTTTAACTATTTTATAAATCATTTTTGGAAAATGTCATATATATAAAAAGTCTCGAGACTTTTCAAGCGTATCCTTCAAAAAGCCATTAGCGCACCTTTTTTTATGTGTTCTATTAAGTTGTCCAACTTCGTCGATGGAACTTATTATGTCGTCTAACTTGTTTCAACTTATTGAAACAGAGTCAAATATGACATACGGTTCTTGGCCTTTTGTCCTACAAACTTAATGTCATAAGTACTTTATTAGGATGCCTAAGAACGGTTCGTTGTAATAAAAGACCATAATAAACGTAACTGAAGTTCCGTATAAATGTGCAGATGTGGATTTCCGAAATCTAGTGAATCGAGTGCCGAAAGGAGCGAGTCTCACGATTCTTTCGGATTCTTGCCACAGTGGCGGACTAATCAACAAAGAAAAAGAACAAATCGGGCCTTCTTCACTCCGTGCGGATCACGTTCCAACCCTCGACAAAATTACCAAATCCAAAACCATCCCTTTTGAATCAATTCTACACCATCTTTCATCAAGGACACACATAAACACACCCGATCTGGGCACCCATTTGCTGGAGCTCTTTGGAGCAGCCGCGAGTCTCAGCTTCTCTTTGGCCTCACACGAACTCCATTTGATTCCATCGGTTCACGAAGATAGCGGGATTTTACTAAGTGGGTGTCAAGCAAATGAAAGTTGTGCAGATATGAATCCTCATGGCAATGGAGAAAAAGCTTATGGTGCATTTAGTAATGCAGTTGAGAATGTGTTGAATCAGAACTCTAATTGCGATCTGAGTAACAAAGAGGTTGTGTTAATGGCGAGAAATGTGTTACAGAAGCAAGGATTTGGGCAACATCCATGTCTTTATAGCAGCGATGATCATGCAAAATCGACGTTCTTGAACCAGCTTTCAAAATGATCCGATACGTTCGTTGCAAATTTTATGATATCTATTTTATGGCAATGAATTGGTTTCAAGAAGTAAAAACAAGATGTAAAATTGAATAAATCATGATTCAAACTTATTTTTATGAATTTTAGTTTCTTATCAAGATGTATAACTATTACCCCGGTAAGCATTAACAATAATAGTAAACAATAATCTACGGCATTCCGACATGATACTTAGAGGTAAAATGACTATATTGCCCTTGTTTATGTAAAGAGGGTTTAACAGTCGTTAATGAGAGGAACCAAACCCAAACGAAAAACTCATACCTCAGTCGTTTTTTGTTTGTAGGGATAAAACGAGCCAAACCCTGAGCCATGGGACCATTTACTGCAAAAGCAAATATTGAAATATGGCGAATTAAGCAATAATCTTACATTCTTTCAAAAGTGAATCATCTCCTCTCTTTATAAATACAGCTTTCTGCACTAACTCATAAAAATGCTCCTCCTCATTTCTTAAACAAACCAGAAAGCTCACCAGTTTCATGCATGGAAGACAATATATCACACCCTCCTACCAATTCACCATTAACAAACACCTGTGGAAAAGTAGGCCACTTGCTGTAACTCTTCAATGTCTCCCTTAATCCACCATTATGTTCTTCATCCAACACATCCACGCTCTCATAATCCACGCCTTCTGAGTCCAAAATCCCGACCACCCTTTGTGAGAACCCACATTGTGGAGCACTTCTTGATCCCTTGATGAAAGCCACCACCTTATTTTCTTTGACCATTCGGTCAATTAGTTCCTCTAAAGGAACGGTTAGTTGGACGTTTCGGCCTGGCATTATCCGTAGATCGGATTTTTTCTTGGGTGCTTGACGGACCCATGTGGTGTTTCCAGACTCGTTGCCAGGTGGGACTTTTCCGGAAACTTCTATGTGTTCTTCCATCCATGATTTCCAAGCTTGCGTTAATGCTGTTCTATCAGGATTATCCACCACTCCAACCTAACAAAATATGTTCTTGTGATTCAAGTCTTGGGAAGAAAAGAGATACTTTAAGCAGGGTTTATGTTGTAAATGAAAAATATATAGTAAACAAATTGCAATTAGAAACAATATTAATGGTCAGAAGACTTGAATCTCTCTTGTTGTACTCTGAGAATCCAGAACAGAAGACCATTATAATATTTTCAACATTTCCTAGTGATAACATCGTACACTTTGTATGAAAGAAGGTGGAACCATTGTGAACTCAGGCAAGCCATTACTAGCATGTACGATATATTTGTTATCATAACTCATAATGGCATTTTATTGTTGTAGCTCATAACGGCATTTTATTGTTGTAAACTAAAATGAAATGAAAATTGTTCATAGATTTTAATGAAGAAATTGACAGCCCCAAAAATCATTGATTATTTTCTAGTACGGAATTCATAGTCCTAGCACAACATTCCTTGAAAAGGACTATTATAACATCTCGTCCCACATCGGTCCTAGTTGTGAACTGTGAGCCCTTGGTAGTCAGATACGGTAACCTCCTACCATAATTAAACCAAAAGAGTCGAACTATTAAAAAGTAGAGCGGTTGTTTATGTGAAAACCCCCAACTTGTGGAAAGTGTGAGAAATGAACAGAAAGTTTGCCCGAAGCATTAGAGAAAAAAAATAGCAAAAGGAGAAGCTCAAAAAGAAGAATGTGCGACAAGAAAATCGAGTTAGAAGTAAACAACAAGATCCAAAATGATTGTACTAATTTGGAGGTTATTTGGAGAGTACAATATTTTAGGTTCGGGTGATACAAATTGGTGAGAAGACTGTAGGTTTTTTATGTAGAAAACCCACTCAGATTAACCTATGACTATGACTATGGGTAGAAAATTAGCATTAAGTTTATGTCATATATATATATATATATATATATATATATATTTACTAGCATACTAACACTAGAGAGGGAAACAAAAAGCAACCCAGTGCTGCCTGCATTTGTGAACAAAAACAATGAGGACCTAATATTTTGACTATACTCAATTCAGAAGTTGCCCCAGATCACCACATGATGTAGTTGATTTCTCATCTTGAAACCAATTTCTAAAGTGCCATATTATATGGCACCATTGAAATTGCAGGAATTGGAGCTGTCAGAAGAAGAGGCATTAAGCTAAATTGTGTTCATGTGGTGCTCCAGTTCTATCTTATGAAGAAAAATGATGGATTTAGACCATTTGTTGTTGACTATAGCGAGTTTAATCGGCTACCATCAAGAACAGGTGCCCTTCAAACAGAGATTTGAGATCTAGCTATCACCAACTAAGGATGAGAGAGGGGCATTTCTAAACTGCTGTTCATACTTGATATGACAGCCTTCAATAATGCCATTTGGTTTGAAAAATGTGCCTATGGTATCTAGTATTTGTTGGATCAGGCTTTTCATCGATAATTAAGCAAGAGTGTCATAGGCGTTGTTCGGTTGTTTTTCCATCAAGCTATGTATGGATTGAGCTGTCTGTATGGACTAAGATAAATTGTGTTTGTTGTGCTAAATAAACTGGCTGACTGCATAAATGGCCCCATCATGATATACTAGTGTATTTCAACTCTAGAGTAGAGTTGAATCACTCAACTTGATTGCTACAATCTTTTCAAGAATCCCCCTTATGAAGAAGTATCACTTTTGTTCAAAAACACAAGACATGTTTTATGTTTAGATTTTTAGGTCACCCAGTAACTTTGACTTAAAATATAATATGATTTCAATTTTCCAAGAAATTTTGTATGAGTAATAACTTAATAACAGATACTAAAAGGGGGAAAAATTATTGGTTCTAAATTCAAAACAAGCGCATAAAATCAACAGGTTTGAACTTGCAAGTCAAAACCATCATTTTCTTGGAACTGTAAGAGTAATATCATCAAACACCATGCGTGCATTCACATTTGGCAGCTTCAATCAAGGGGAAGAGTAATTAACCCTCAACATTAGAAGAACAACCAATCAACATATATCTCACAACTAAATGCTACCACCCGAAATTCATTAGAATTAGTATCAAGTAATGTTAAACTTGGGGGTTATATATTGAATCTATACACCAAATTTAGAACATTTTTTTTGGGTAAAGTGATGTACCTTGATGGAAGCACAAAGTTCCGGTACTGATTTCTGGTGATAAAGAATGCTCGCCTGAATGTTTCGAGACAACCCCACAAACTGCATATCACCGTTCTTGTCGTAGACGGCGTAAACGCCGGAAGCTGAAGGGAATACAGCTGAAAGAGCATCGGATTCAGAAGGAACGGAGACCAATTCCGTCTCCGATAGCTTCCCAAGAGCAGAAACGACGAGAGTCAGATGGCGAGCACGGTTGTTGGTTGTGAGCTTGGATTTGAGAGAAATTGACGATGTGAATGAGAAGAAGGAAAGGTCTTTCACGTGAGTAGAGTGAAAACAAAGAGTTTTAGAGGGGGTGCAAATGCGAGATGAAGAGAGTAACCGGAGAGAAGAGGATGAGGTGGTGTGAGTTGGTGATGAGAGGTTCATAGCCGCCATTGATGCGTGACGAGAGAGGAGTCTTGCACTCGAACTGATAACGAGAATCAAAGATATTTGAATTTTGACCCAATCGAAAAGGGGAGTGCTAATCGCACCCCCTTTAATAGTGGTTTAACAGTGGTGTTGATTGTTTTAAAACTTGTGTAATGATTTTTTTTTATAAACATCAACTCAATTAATTTTATATTTATATTTTATTAATTTTATTTAATTTTATATATTTATATTAAAAAATATATATTATTTTATTATTTTTATGTTACTTTATTATTT